CACTCTACCCTTCAGGGCGAGAGTAATGTCGCGCCGCCGCCATAAGTGGCAAAGGTTAGTAAAAGCACTTCGAGCTTTTGCTATACGGTTCGTGATCTCGTCTTCGATCCCAAGGGCGCTGATACAACTTCCCAGGTAATTGAATTTCTGAACGACTTCTAGCTGATCCCCACCAAGGGTCAGCGCAGGAGGCGATCCCTGCCAATCTTGGTGGAACGCTTTGCACTTCGATGGTGCAAAGCAAAGCCCGAAGCGCCTGACAGCCAGTGCTAATCTGTCCAGCGCGGCGTGGCACGTCTGGGAGCTGTCACAGATGAGGGCAATGTCGTCTGCATACTCCAAGTCTAGAAGTCGTTCTCATGGGAGTAGCTCCACACCTTCCAAGTCATGTCCTGTAAATGCAATCTCCATGACTTCGTCAATAGCGAGGTTGAAGAGGTAAGGTGACAGCGGGCATCCTTGTCTCACACCGCTGGAGATATTAAAGGGTGGCGACAGCTTGCCGTAAGCCCTCACTCTGCCCGTGCTACGCGCGGATAATGCTCGGATAATATTTACATATTTCTCGGGCACAAAATTCCTGAGCAGGCAATTCCAAAGTGCACATCAATCAACCGAATTGAATGCACCTTTGATGTCGAGGAACACGACTACGGTGGGCCGCCAATATGTGTGACGGTGCTCCAACAACTGACGTAAGATGAAGATGTGGTCGATGCAGCCACGACCTCGACGAAACGCGGCTTGCTCCTCACGAATCTGGCTTTCACGAGCGCCAGTCAGTCTGTTAAGGATTATGGAGGCGATGGAGATCAGACTGATTCCTCTATGCTCGCCGCATTCCGAACGCGAGTCTCCTTTGAAGATGGGAACAATAACGGAGCGGCTCCAGTCGGTTAGGACAGTCTCCTGCTCCCACAGTTTCACTAATAATTCATGTAAGGCATCAACAAGAGCAGAGCCTCCGAATTTGTAGAGGGCTGGAGGAAGATCATCTAGTCCCGTAGCTTTGTTCAACTTCAACAGTCCGATATCCGTTCGACTTCTGAACGAGAGGGTGGATCCAGACGGAATAACTTACAATGGTTGCCAAGGGCAGCGGCCACTTCCATCTCTGACGCACGGTGTGACCACCAGGATTTGCGGTCTGTCTTCAGGCTAGCACGGAGTTTCGCCCGGAGCTCTTTGCGAGTTTCATTGTGTTCGCTTCCAGCCGGAATATGCCGGCGAGCATCGATAAGTTCCAGAGACTGCGAAGAGACCCAATCACCATGTTAGCTATTAGACATACCATATGAGGATTTGCGTGTTGCTAGTAAGGTCTAGTGAACATGTGACCAGTGACCATCAATTGTCCCAAGTGAGCGCTTACTCAATTCGCATGTCAGCGTACTTTGATAGGCATTCAGAACAGGTGGTTTCACCAGTTGGCTGGTGTCAATGCGCTCACAGCGTCCTCTTGGGCGTCCGCCAAAACGTATCCGCATGTCAGCACATACTAGTGCATGATCGGTGTCCACACATGTGCTCCAAATCGAGCGACAGTTCTGGACGCAGCCTCTCCATCGGTGACTTATCGCAATGTGAGCGATTTGCATCCAAGGCTGGTTCGAGGCTGGTGAGCGCCAAGTCATTCCGGCAGGTGCTGTGTCGGTAGTTACTGCTCGCAAGAAATAAGCGAGCATCTTCACACAAATGAAGTAACCGCTCACCCTTATCATTACGGGAACCTACACCGTGCGGACGGCCCAGATGCAGTTCATCAATGGACAACTTTCCGATGTTGGCCGCCCAGATGCAGCTCATCTGTGGATAATTTTCCAACTTGAGCGTTCAGATCCTCAGCCAGCACAACAGTGTCTGAGCATCTTCTGTGGCGAAGAAGCTCGTTTAGTTGGCGGTACAAGTCGTTCTCTACCGAATCATCGCTACAGTTTGTGGGTGTATAGGCAGCGATGATGAATAGACACCTGTTAGTCCCGCGCGACTTCGAAGCTTTAAACGAGCCAGCCAATCGGACCGCACACATCCGGCTACTGATTAGAATCCAATCAACCAGAGCAGCTTCAACCCGGGGACTCAGGGCAATGCCAACACCAGCTTGGTCGGTGCTCGAAGCTGCATCATCACCGGATAGGCGCAGTGAGAAAGTGATGCTAGTGTCGAGTGAAGGGGATCGCAGAGTGAGCACTGAGCTCGAGTCTTGCAGGCGGATCTCCGATTAGCAGCAGATATCGATCGAGAAGGTCTCCTATGTTTTGGCAAGTGCTGTCTGTTGTCCGATCTGTAGTAATGTGCATACATTGAGGCATGTCAGTCTGAAGGGGGACCGAGGGCTCCAAATGGAAGCCGATGAACTGGAATGGACCGCTTGGTTGGACATGGGCTTGTCGACAGGAGAGGAGTGACTCTCCGCGTTCACATGTGAGTTGAAATTAGAAGATAAATGCCTAGCAAAGCATGTTGGGTTAGGGCCGAGAATTGGGGTGTTGAAAACAGGGGGGATAAAATTGAAGTTGGAACGGGACGGTAAGAGTGAAGTGGCGTAAGAGGGGGAATAAGAAGACGGGAAGGCTTGAGCAGTAGTATCCAAACCCCGTATCCACCCTGCTCGATGCAGCAGATAGGGCACCGTTGATTATCCTCTACGGTGGCGAGAGCATCAAGAAATTGTTTGAGGAAAGATTCATTGTATTGCGTGGGCAGGATACTGTCAGGTTGCCCAGGCCTAGATAGCAGAACGATTAGGGTTCTCAACCAAAGCCTTTGGTTCAAAACCTTACCGCAAGGCAGGGTGTTTGGCATTGGGCTACAAGGAGTCCGTTTTAAGGAATAAGGAGCCACCCTTATTCGAACCCCCAAACTGGAGGACCAGGAGACTGAGTTTGTCTGGCCTCTAACCATTGACTGAATCTGGAATGAGTGGCTCTGAAGGTGCAAAAAGCACCGCCCAGCATAGCTCAATGGATCGCTGAGGCACACAAACGATCGCACCACGGTAAGGTCCAACGTCATTACGTTGGGCATAGGCAGGTGCTAGTCGTTGGTTATCGGGCTAGTTCCTTAGGGCAGCGGATAGCACTGAATACGTTGCGTTGGCTTGGCCACGTGCTACGTATGCCTGTTCACTGCTTATCAAGGAGGACCTCATTTTTTTGCACAATGCTGGAGGTGGACAGTTGATTTGACAGCAGGGAATGGATTCAATGACTACAAAACTGGGTACCGTTGCCGTCGTCCTCGAGAATTTCAAGTATCTGGGCAGCTTTATTAGCTCCATTGAAACGGAAGATGAGAGCACGAACCGTACAGCTAAAGCTCTACGTGCTTTTGCCAGTCTGCGGCATCTTTTGCGCCGGCGCGGCATTACTCTCGCTCTGAAGGGCAGAGTTTACAATGCAGCCGTCCGTACAACCCTCCTGTACATTTGCGAAACTTGGTCCATCAAGTCGACAGACATGAAGCGGCTTGCCACGTTCGATCAACGCTGTTTTCGCAACTTAGCTCATGTTTGGTGGGAAATGAGCGTGTTCGGCGTCGCATGTTTGGTGCAGGAAGAGCGAGCGAACTACTCATCACCATTATATCACGCACCAGGCTCCGATGGCTGGGCCACGTGTTGCGCATGCCAGCCCACCCACTCCCGCGGCGTGCATCGTTTGCAGGCCGGGGGTAGTTGGACGAAGAGGAGAGGTTGCCACTGCGATGACTTGATCGCGAGGAATGAAAACCCTCACTTTGAAGCGGGCGTCGGTTGCTGTATCCCGGCTGCCTGGCTGGGGACCGGATGATGATGAGCACGTTTGGTTGGATACAATAGCTGACATGGCAAAGAGTCAACCTCAGTAGCGTCTGTCTTATGTCTTTTTGTCCTTGCTTTTCTTTTTAGCTTCTCCACCAACCATCAAAAATCTAATATTGGCATTATAGTACTTTTTATAGCTTTTAAGTGTACATTAGTTAATGTCTTACTTTTTATTGTGGCACATTAGCTGAGGTGTGTTTCCCACCCTGCAGCGCACGAACGATGTCGTTGAGCGAAGTTCGTGGGATGCTTTGTTGCAGGTACAGCAACAACTGAAAGTGAACAAGGTCCACCTTTCCGTATCTGCGTTTTTCATCGCCCTCTGAAAGCTCAAGATCACGCTCATGAAGTGCTACTAAGAGCGAGACCGCGTCATGAGTGCTACGACGAACGCAGGCTGGCATGTCTACACTCTTCTTCTGTACACGCTCTACTCCTACATACCAAATCCAGCAGTTTAGTTTGAAAAACCTCCACTGAAGAAATTTGGTGTTGTAACAAAGAGGGAAACATGTACACAAAGAGATCTCTTAGTTTTGCAGCTACTCTTCAATCCAAATGCATTCCACAATGACATGCAGCACATATAGTTATAGCTTGGTGACCTAAACGATGGAGTGTATATCGTCAAGTTTGTTATCCATTCCATTCTTCAGTTGGCCACTCTTTTCAGCATTACCCAGAGGACGAATATTGAACCTTGTATGGTCACGACAAAGGAATTATATATATATATATATATATATATATATATATATATATATATATATATATATATATATATATATATATATATATATATATATATATATATATATATATATATATATATATATATATATATATATATATATATATATATATATATATATATATATATATATATCATCACACGTGCCATACGCAATTATCCACTTGTCAAATTTTTATTCGCCAGCTTTATTTTTGGTAAACGCTCAGTCCCTGACCTCGAGAATGCCTAAAGCACTCTTTTACTCCGTGGAGCGCACCCACTCCTTTGTAGCCTCTTCCATTTTGGTCTTGTTCATCTACTTATGGCAGCTTTTTATGGAGCCCACAGTGTCATGTAGGTAAGGGTTTCTGGACCAGAACTTAGGTTTCCCAAAAATATACTTTGTCGCACTTGTTTTTTTCACTCCTAATCTTGTGACCTGCTTTATTCAATACACATCAGCGTCTGAACCGCGAATGCACGTCCACACGCTATGCTAGGTATCTACCGGTTTCGAGTCGCATAGACCCTCATCATCGCGATCGTGTGAAAATAAGGGTGACACCAAATCAACACACTACAACTGCATTTACATCACGCTCTCTTCGCCCTGGCATTCATTCCCCAAAAGCTGCTGTGACATCTGCGAGCTATACCTATGATCTACATGCGTCAGATCCACAATCTTACCGACGTTGTAGTTCGTCTTTGCGAAGCCCTATCGATAGAATTCTGCTGGAAGAGTTGGAGAAACCACGACAATGTCTCGGACCTGGTTGTACGAAACCAGCGGCAGGACTCAATACGAAATATTGTTCAGGGAAATGTGGACTACAGTTGGCAATAAGGTAAGTTCTGTCACCTTACGTTCGAGTTTTACAAGGATCCTACCCATGTTTGGGCTATTGTGTTCGTTTGAATAAGCTTTATTGACCGTTCGATTTCCTAATTTGCAACTTAATTAGCAAGAACACGAGGTAAGGTGTTTTGGCAAAGTGAATGAAACCACATAGAACATCGCGAGATAAGTCCAACGAGAAGCAGTACAGTAAAACATAAGCATGTTTCCATCAATACTCGGACGGTGCAAACTTCTGCGATCGTTCCTTCGTTTAACAATGGCGGCAGCGGCAGCGAGAATTGTAACTGTAATTGTAGTGGTGCTAATATTAGTTGTGGTAAACTATCTCTTCAACAGGCACCCTATTTTCTTTCAAAGCTACGCAGTTGTTCAGTATTCAATCTGCAGTTGCACAGCTACACAAGCTCTCACTTTGGCACGTATCACATTTCAGTTCCGCGTTCGGACATTTTATTTCGGCTCAGTTCGGTCCCAACTCTAAATGAGACATACATCTACTGTGTACGCTGTCAATGTTTTGGCCTCATAACTGCTATCACTATGCTCAGTTGTCTTTTTAAACTAGCTTATTTACTGGTTAAGATCGCTTGGAAATCCATGCATACAGTTGCAAACCTTCAATTTATCATCCATATTGATATTTAAGTTAATCGGCGAAACGTTACCGTTCATTGTGTAGTGTCGCATTGGACGTACCATTTATACTTGCCTGTATACTTGTCGAAATAGTATTGAGGAAAAGACAGCGCGCAGAACACTCATTCGATCAGCCACCTGTCTGCATCTGTTTGCAACAGCGTCTTCTTTTTGCGTCAGCCGGGTCTCGTGGCAGTCATATGTGCAACATCATACCTTAGCCGTTTCGCACATCTCCAACTACCTCCTCCAAACAGAAGAGAAATAATGGAAAATCGACTTTCACAACTTTAGGGCCTGTTCCTTCTTGGACCTTGTGCAGGTTTCTGTTGTGTTCTGATTCTGTTTCTGCTTCTGCTTTTCCTTTATCGTCTTCGTTAACATGAAAGCGCAGTAGGTACTGTATGCGTCACTCCCTGTCCTCAACTGTCAGAATACCTTTAACGGACAAGGTAACAAGCTTGTCTTCTAATCTGACGGCGCGAGTTCGAGACAGCTTAGGGTCAGTATCCTTAGCCCACGTGCGGCCGGTGATGGTTGCGCGGCAGCGAAGCCTCGGTACTGCGTACTGGCATACTGCTGATACCTTTTTCATGTTATTAACATCTGTACACTGGGATCAGCCGTGATATGAGCGACCCTTATGGCTGATCTCTACCGAAGTATGACTCCCTTCTGTCGCAAACACCGATTCTTCTGCAACGATGAATCACCGAGACAGCACACGTGGCGTTCGCTTTGCTTTCATTGCAGCCTCCCGTGCTTTCTCAGCGAGTAAAACTGAATAGTTCAAATCCCTTTTTTCTTTTAAGACGTCTGGAGGCGTTTCTGCCAGAAAATTTGCCCACGTTGTTCTCGGACGAGAAAAGGAAGAACAATGCTTTCCTTGGAAATGTAGACCAGAACCTACGTGTGAACGTAGCAGAGCAGCTTGATCGGACTCGATTAGAAGAGATCCAGACTCAAAAATGCGTTCTGCACGATCGGCTGGTACAATTGGAGCTGGAACATCAACAACTGAGCGCTTTGGTCAACCAGGCACGTCAGAACAGGCCGAAGAACAATTTGAGCAACAGTGTAAGTTGTCGCGTACTTGATTGTTATGTGCTCGTATTCTGTATAGGTTCACCTTCATTACAACCTTGTGTGGTTATGGAATCCCAAGTTTGCCGCCTGTTCGTGTAACGCTGTACACTTAACACAACTGGTCCTGTCACATAATTGAGTGTAAATCTCTTGCAGCACGTTATTCTAGTCCGAAGGGGTTCACCTTTGTCCTTCCTGCAGGAAAGTTCTCGAGAGAGTGAAACGTGCTCCTTACTGTAGCACAGTGATTCCCAACCTGGGGGTAGTTACCCCCAAAGTGGCAGAATTGGATTTTACGAGGAATAAATGTGAGTATAAGGATTAGCCCGTCGACCGCTCCAGAAGCCAATTTATTAAAAAAATCACATATATCAAATCATCTAACTAACTACGTAACCGCGGATCAAATTCTATCAGTAAACATTTTCGTGATTTGGAAAGTCGCGGAATATATGCATGGGTGCTAGGATCCCTTTCAGTGGATAAAATAATACTTCCAGATACTGAGATTAATGCCAAAGCGAAATTTCTTGGACTTCGTAAAGACAACCAACCATATTTTGGCAATGGTTGGTGGCGTGGATTCATTATTTTCGGAGAAAGCGTTGAAAATATTGATCCCGTTCGCCACAACTTACAGGTGTGAAAGTGGATTTTCGACAGTGGTGACAGTGAAAACGAAAGCAAAGAAACGATTTATTTTGAAACACGACTTACGAATGTGCATTAGGCGAAACTGCACCAGATGCAATATCAACCGTCTACTTTACCTAGTGCATCTTTATATAATAACAAAAACTGCTCAAAATATACGTTTGGATGATTGAAATTATGTACAAAAATTCAAGTGCTTTTGATTAATTTATTATTTAAGCTAAAATAATTTAGAGGCATTTATTTATGTTTAGTCAGCTTTATGAGTAATTGCCTTCAAAGGGATGGGAACTATTTCTGTTGCATAACGTTATTTCTCTTGATAAATGTTTGAAAGCGTACCCGTATAAATAACTATGCTATCTGCTGAACAGGTAGTTAGCGTAAAGGAGGTAGTATCAGCGCACTAATGAAAATAAGTTAAAAATTTCCTTACCCACTCCTAACTGCTATCAGCAATCTAAATGTTAATCGGTTAGCACGTGGTTGATAATTGACTTTTTTACCAACCGTCCGCGAAATATCACGGATTGCACTTGCCCTAGCCGATCAGTTTGTTCTACTATGTACTGGGTTTCCGCGTGTCCTTAACCGGGTGGCTAGGGTGCTCGACATGTAGAATGCTAGTGCTAGTGGGAACAGCCGAGCACTGTTCCAGCCCATTCGTAGCACAGGTCTAAGATATCCCTCGGTTACCGAGACAGCAGCTTAGAAAGATGGACAGTTGACGCATTCTCAGCCTCGTAGACTGGCCCGTTGAACGGAACATTTTGAAGGGCATTTCAGCAGACCTGCTGCGATAGTGTCATTTGCTGAATTATCTTAACTGACTTGGGAAATTAATGTCACGCCTCCAACTTAGACGAGTTTCCACAGGAGCTTAACGTGTCCAAATGAAATATGGCTCTTGTACCTGAAGAACTTTCTTCGCTTTTATTGCAAAGTGACTACTGATCGGACTTGCTGCTCTATTTGGCGCAATGAAGAGATGCCTTCAGACTAGCAATTGCCAACTGTCATGCTCATCTTTAAAAAGGGCCAACGGACTGTGCGAAAATCACCGAGATATTACCCATCTTTTCCTTAACTCCACACATCTTATTCTTCGACAAATTAATGATCTTTGTAAAAGCCGAATCACCTGAAAGCCAAGTGCCTTTCACTCCGGTCATGGTCAAGTATTAGAGAAAGAGACAAACGACTGACTATGTCGGCTTTCCCTGACTTGAAAGCCTCCTACAACTGCTAATGCAACCAGCTTGTGACACTCCCTGTGCGTGAAATGCATGCCTGGAAAACTCCTTACCACTTTGAATTCTCTCGGTCGTAAATCTCGAGACCTTAGGGGAATACAAGAAGCTGTCACTTGAGTTGCCTATGACGTAGATTTCGTCAGGATCGTTCAATATCTCCTTCACATCAACGCTTTATCGAAACGAACCTACTTGACTCTGTTCTTTCAGGTTATCCAGGACTGCTAGTTGTGCAGGGTGATCGGCTATAAAACCCTGGTTATATGGACAACAGCTCGCTTGTATCCGGACGTATAAGAAATGCAACCACTATCAAATAGACTGACGGGTTTTACCGCACGCTTCGGTATGTGCTTTGCACCTTCTAAGTGCGAAGTATTGTTGCAGGATCCGTCCGAGCAGCTACCGTTTCTTGCTATCAACCAACACTCAATGGAAGTGGTTGATCGATTCATTTACCTTGGTTGCTGTGGAATCCCTGGTGGTCACGTCACTAAGGAGGTTACTTCCTGGTTCAGAAAGATCCATGTGGCTTTTCAGGAATCCAATCATTTGTGGCGGCCTATACTGAAAGGTGGGACGTATAGCGCTACGATGAAGCAGGTGTTATTGTTTGGAAAAGAGAATTGGCCAGTTTGCAATGAAGACATTGAACGGTTGGTCGTGTTTTATCACGGATACATGCGGAGTATTGCCGACTTCTGGTGGGAATTCCGAGTGTTTCAAAGTGACCACTTCCATCGGTCATAAGCCGTTGGGATAAGCGTTACACGCCGTCACTCGGTGGCTTAGGGGTAGAGGTTACTGTCCGCTATCACTAGCGGATGAGATGGAATAAATTCAATCTCGGTCATGGAATGCAGTGTATTCGGGCGGTCAACACCCAATACCCGTTGGTGTCTCACTGGTATGGTGCTGAGAATCAAGCACCTGCGTTGGCTAGGTCATGTCCTCTGTATGCTCTTCGACCCGTTTCCTCGGCTAGCAGTATGCGCAGTCGCTGCATCACGTTGGGCGAAATCGCGAGATGGCCAGTCCGTGACATGGTATAAAGGCCTGAAGAAATTGACTAAGAGACTTGGTCAGGTTAATTCGTGCCTCCTTGGTGCATGAGGGCCGCGGGAGTGTCCACATCAGTCTTTGATATTCTATAGAACATGGCGCAGTCACGCAGTCAGTGTCGTCCCTGCATTTGATTTCTTGCATCTGGCTGTTAATTTTCATTCTAGCCCCATTAGTTTAACGCACTTCGTTCTTACTTTCATGCTTTATTATTTTATTCCATTTGCGTTCACGCTCTTTTTCCTACCTTTGTTATTCATTGTTGATCTGGTAACATGAATATCTGAAAATGAATTGTTGTGGTGTGACATAGTAGTTAGGGTAATTCTCACCTGTACGCAGCGTGTAGAATGATTATAGCGATGGTGGCATCCGGATCCACCGCAATTTGGTACCCGGATCACAGTTGTTAAACTGAACTGAACTTTAGCACACACAAAGTATTCTAAATCGAAACAAAAATGTAAAGCTTTAGCCCTCACCTATTCTTGGGCTGTCCGTCCGGTTCATATTTGTGTCTTTGACTCCTTTGGTCACATTATCCGAACAGTTACGGCCATGATAAACTGAATGTCAACTCATACGCCAGTGCATCTTGCCACGTTTACGGGGAATGACCGGTCGCAGCGGATTTGTGGTTCATTCCTATTCAGTTCAAGTGATGCGCCGCAAGTTTGCTATCTGCAGATCACAGTGTTCCCCTACCCATCACAACGAGACTGATCCATAGCATGGTGCGATGCTTTGCGTACTCGCGTGACCCAATGACCTATGCTAGATGGCACTTTTCAAGCCACTCATATCAGCAGTTCAGTGGTTAGGGAGAAGACTAACTCAGTTTCACAATCCAATCTTCGGAGGTTAGGTAGAGGTCTATGGCCCCCATTCTTTAAAACCTAGCCATGCGAGACAACGGGTCTACGGGTTATAAGCTGACAGCTTGATGGGCGTAGAGCAACAGCGCCTCACACTGTCTCTGACGGTGGGAGGGCACCTCCCGGAGCTCAATGTTTTGCTACCTCCGCCTCAAGCCAGGCAACCCCGGGGCAAATTGGTGCCAAATGTACCAACTTCTACCTGTGGCTGGCCGTGGTGAAGGTGCGTAACATACTACGGTAGCAAAACACATGTGAATGGCTCCAAAACTAAAAAGGCTGTGTGTGATAGGCCTCAAGCAGATACCAATGGGTCTCTGCAATCATACTCCTTAGATGGACTTGTTCCCCACTGACTTATGGGTCAGGCTACTGAGCCAAAGGCTCCGAGAGGAGTCCCTCACGCGCACCTCCAAATCCCCCACTTCGTTGTGCGTCAGATTATTGAGTCAAAAGTTAGAGATAGGCACCTCGGACAAAGCCCTTCTCTCAGAATGAGCAGTCGAAGAGTATCATCTGCCCTCTTGATCACGCGAAACATTCTCCCTCCTCATTTCCCCCTATTTTAGCTCTTCTTCTCCGTCTGTTGAGCAAGGACCTGCAGCTGACTTCGCTGCTACTGCCATCGATGCTCGTAACTCTTCCATCAAACCACGAGTCTCATTTCACACTGGTTCTTTTAACGCCCGCACTTTAGGTCAGATTGGTCAACAGGCAACACTGACTCTCACTCTTCACTCTCTCAGTATTGATGCGTGCTGTGTCTCCGAAACACGCATTCAAGATAACAGCGTTGTGACGAATCTTCGACTCCCTGGTTCTGATTCTGACTACAATGACAACATTCTTCGTGTCTCTGATGACACCGAATCAATGCCTCAAGGTATTTAGGGTCTTGGTATCTCCCACAGCAGACATGATGAAGTTAATTGGTGAACACCCGCATGTGTAGAGTTCGACTTCGAACCTCTATTGGAGTTAATAAGCACCGTATGAAGACAGGGTGCCTTTTCATTGTCTCCGTTTATGCTCCTACTGACTGCAGTTCGGAGGGTACGAAAGATGATTTCTACTGCCATCTTTCATCTCTTCTCCACATGGCGAAGAATACTGACATCATGGTTGAGTGCCCAAGTGGGTCATCTTTCAGACTCTGAACAGCACCTGTGAGGCCGATTCGGAGTCGATGCACGTCGATTCCTGCAACGGTTCGCCGAACAACCTCCCCGTGGTGCCAGCTGGGTGGTTCGGGTAAATCCCGTTTCAGCAAATGGTTCGGCGGCAGTGTTCTAGGATGTGGTGGGATTTCGCCTGACAAGCGTTCTCCCTATAAAAACCACAGATATCCGTTTAACAACACTGTGACGTGGCGGATGTGACTCGCCACTAAATAAAGTCACCGCCTCTTCCCTTTTCCGGAGGATCATTCACACATCACGAACGTCATCCGATTCGAAGCGTTCCATTGATTTCCCCCTTTGATGGCGAACCCAACGAACAAAAACACACAGAGTCACATTTACCTACTCACACAACATGGCTACTTCCAAATACAGACATAAACATACTTTTACATGTCAACAGACACATACATTCCTATGCTATTTGTCAACATGTACTAATTTGTGCAATTGCCGATCATACATGTATGTATTACTTATGAGTGGAAGGATTTTGGTGGGTATTTTTATTCGTCGCAATCAGCCGACAATTCAGCTAAGTCAACTACCTATCCGGAATAGGTGGGTAGGCACGCTTGGCGTCACTCTTCCCACTTCAAGGAAGGGTGTATTTTCTCTTCTTACCTGTAACTTGAACTTGCAGTCTGTGGTTCAACAATATAACGAACTGTGTAAGCGATAGATTCGCTTGGGGCTCGAGTGACTCGTAAAATTACCATGTCCAACCAAGAAAGGAAGCCGATACGTTAACTGCGGTACTATTAAACAAAACTGCTTATAATGCCATGAGTTAATTGGCGGCTTAAGTTTGGTAAGCTCGTCGCTTGGTGAGGGAGCTACCCTGTCCTCTGCATGGCAGTAACGTTTAAGTCAGTGGATAGTGAGCTGCGCTATATCACATCTAGTAACTTATTCACGATAGTCGTTGCCGTCCCCCGTAGCTCAGTGGTCTCAACCACGGACTGGCAACAGTCGAGTTGCGGGTTCGAGCCCAACCAGGGCCCGATGGAATGCGCACTGCTAACGATTCCCGAAAGGATGAAATGCGCGTACAGTGCTTTTCCGGGCGTGTGACGGCTGTCTGAGTGAGCCTAGATGTGATGAATTTCTTCCCATAACATTCAACTCTCCCTACTACTCTTCTGCAAAATAGAACTCATATACATATTTATATACCTCAACAGTGTCCGTTCAGTCCTGAGACAACCAGATCTTCGAACAGTTACACAATGAAATAGCGTCATCGCACTTGCTGCCGTACAGCAAGTCCACACAGTACAGATTCCGAGAGAGGAATACAGGGGTTCTTTTTAATGTGTCCGAAATCTTATCCCATTGGTCCGCTGTACGGCGCGCAGGAAGATACAAGGAGTCCTTTCTTTCAACTGGAATGTGGTTAATGCGTCTCGGTGTGGATATGGGATCAAAGAACAACAAGGGCCTGGGTGCGCTTGGGGTTAGTAGCATGGGGTGGGAGTGCACAATCGTCACAGCAGGTTTGGGTTGAGAGCAAATCCATGCCGAGTGGGGGACACCTGGGCATGTTACACAGTATGGGCGCGACCGTATCTAACAGCGGGGTTAGAATGCAACCACGTAGGCATGGCTAGGAAAATAGTGAATAGCACGATAGCCCGTAGGAGCAGGTGTCAGCTAAGGTTGTGGCGAACGAGTCTCGATACCATGGTGTAAGTTGCAATGAAACATGGAGCTTTGCATAGTTAATCGTATGGGGTAGACAAATAATAGGTTATCCAGGACCTCGGCAGATGGCTCAGATGCTGTGGTTATCTGACGTATGGTCTTGACATACAGGCTGCAGTTTTCATGGTAATTTTTCCGCTTACCATCTGGCCTACCGGTTGTTGGTGATGAATGAGGTTGGTGAGCCGAACCTTGAATGGAATCGTCTCAATGTGCCATGAAGAATGCCATTGACGGTTGTTGTGCACCGGACTTGTCATATCGTAACTGAATAGATCTCTGAAGCTTCGATCAGTTTGATTGAAGCACGTAAACCAGTTCAGATGGACACTGAATTTCAGCGTATCGGTAACTCCCTGAAACGATGTTTGACAATGAGTCTCCGAGTGGACTGGGAACGTTGGTGGATTCGAAAGGCCCATGAGATGGAGAAAGGCAGTGCTATTGGGAACAGCCGAGCATTGTTCCATCTCATTCGTAGCACAGCTCTTTATCCCTCGGTTACTGAGACAATAGCTGAAAAAGATGGACTGTTGATCTATTCTCAGAGTCGTCGACTAGCCCGTTGGTCGGAACTTATTGGGGAGCAGTTCTGCAAGCCTGCTGCGATACTAGCGGTTGCCGAATCACTTGAGCCGACATGGAAAGTAGATGTCACGCCTCCCACTTTGGAAGACTTTCGACATGAGCTGGCCCTGTTAAAACCAAACAAGGCTCTAGGACCTGACAGCCTTTCCCATCTTAGCTGAAAGACGGAGGTAACTCTATTGATTAGACTTTCTTCTCTTTTCTACACGATATTGGACAGTGAAGAACTGCCTTCAACTGGCGACTATCAACGTACTTTGTACGAAGACCACCGACGCATTAGCCATATTTCCATTGCCTCTTAACTTCTGACGAGTATCATTTTTTGATGACTTACTGGTCCTCGTGAGGACCGAATCTTTGGAAGCCAGGCTGACTTCCGCTCTGGTCGTGATTGCATGGACCATATATTTACTCTTGACAAACTTTAGAACAGAGACACATATTCAGACAACCGACTATGGTGGTTTTCCTTGACTTGAAAGCCGCCTTCCACTCTGTCGACCGCGTCAGCTTGTAGCACTGCCTAACCATGGAGGGCGTGTCAGCTAAGCTCCTTTCCATTCTGACATCCCTCGACCGTGATTCCTGGGGCTGTGTAAGGGTCTACGGGATACTTTCTCTTGAGTTCCCTACGACAAGTGGGGTTCTCCAGGGTTGTCCTCTATCTCCTTCGCTCTTTGTGAACGAAATGATCATGAATGTCTCAGTTCTTTCAGACTATTCTGGAATGGAAGTTCTGCCAGGTGACCGACTGACGAACCTGGAATATGCGGACGACATAGTTCTCTTTAGGATAGATGCACTGGCTATGCAGACACTTCTGCACAGTCTTATGCATAGCGCTGCACACTTCGGCATGTGTTTTGCACATTCAAAGTGCAAAATGCTGTTGCAGGACTGGGTCGACACACCTCCGGTTTTTGCTATTTCCGAACAGGCACTGAATGGGATGGATCGGTTCACTTATCTTGGTAGTTGTGTCCCCTCTGGTGATCACGTCGCTAGAGGTTACTTCGCGCATCAATAAGGCCCGTGTGACTTTCCAGAAACCCACGCATCTATGGAGGCGGCGTTATATGAGGTTGTCAGTGAAAGGTAGGCTGTATAACGCTGCGATTAGGCCAGTGTTACTGTTTGGACCGGTGACACGGCCAATTCGCGGTGAAGACACTAAACGCTTCGTCGTGTTTGACCATTGTTGCTTGCCGAATATTGCTCACGTCTGGTGAAAACATTTAGTGAGCAATGCTGAGGTCCGCCAGTTGATTTTTGGCAAGGAGCCTTCTGGTGTCTCATTCGAGTGTTTACGGAATCTTAATCGTTTACGTTGACTAGGCCATGCCCTCCGTATAACCGTTGACCGGCTGCCTCGGTGTGCACCATGCGCCGTGGTTGTACGAAGTTGGACGAAACCGCGAGATGTCCAATCCATGACATGTCATAGAAGCTTGAAGAAATTGAGTGAGAGACTTGGTCAGGCTGATTCATGCCGTCTCTTGGACAGGGGCCTCGGGACGATTCACAACAATGGTTGGAGACCCTGTCCTACATGGCGCAGACACTAAGTCATTGGCGTTCCTGCATTCGGCTTCTTTGATTTGGTTGCTAATCTTCGTTCCATTTTGATTAACCAAACGCATTTCCTTCTTATTTTCATTTTCTGTACATTTTACTTGCCCCCAACCCCCTATTTTACGCTCTGAGTTGTGACAACTGGATCAATCGCACTTCGGTGCGCGGATCGTAGTTGATCAACTGAACTGAACTGAACTGTGTTCCCCTACACTTTCTCATTGTCGAAATATGGATTACGTTTGCATGGGTCACGGTTTTTTCCACAAAAAAGGTAGGTGCGAAATTAAGCGTTTTCGTATTATCAATGACGACGATCGTACATCAGCCATTTCTTGAATCATAGCTCATATTCTGCTTCTCACACGTGGCTTAACTACTACACTTGACGTTTGCTTCCGTTTTGCTCTTATCGTATGTGTTTTGTGTAGATCGACGGGAATCATCATTTTCCCTCTATCTTCAGTTCAACGATGCTTCCAAGGATGGAGACCAAGCAGAACAATTGGAACCAGTGGTTTGCGTCACCTGTGCCAGCGAAGTCAGCATGAGACATGCTCTTAGACACATGGAAAAGTGTTTCCAAAAAGTAAGAAAAATTTCCACATCACGGATTATGTTAGCAGAGCAGGATATCACTTGAATCCATTCAACCGAGTCTATTTTACGCATTCCAATAATATTTTCTCAATATGTCATGAAAATTGCACAAGGTCGCACTGTAGATTCCATTCAGTTCAATTCGTTTCAGTTTGGCGGCCGCGATCCAGGCATCGAAGTGCTTTTGATCCAGCTAAACTGGTGCAGTACTCATAAAGGTAACATTGCTAATGGCAACAGTTAGCACGGAAGGTGTGGAGAAACAAAGATCTATCAGTAAAATTCCAAGGGAAAAGGAACGAACAAACGTTAGCGAGGCGGTAAAGTTAACAATTGGAAGTAATGGGGATTCATAGTTTCTTGACCGCATTGTTTCAGTTAGAGTGTTCACAATCACATGTGCGCCCTTCTATTTCTCCCCGCCAAAGAGGACTGTCTGCACCAGTTGGACCATTTTGGTTGATCGCCCCAAAGCTTCGCGTAATCACCCCTAGTATCGATGAGCGACATATACACCCGAGTGGGCGATGGGCGAGTAGCGGATGAATGTGCGAAATATACTTGCCATGTTGCGTCCTTTTCGTGGTTTCCCCACTTTAGTCATACGTTGTATTTCTGAGCATTTGGTAACACAATTCAAACTATGGGACACTGTTTCCTCGCCATGCCATCCTCGCCATGTCATCTTGCAAAATAGTTGGTTTGTTACACGTATGCTTGCATAGTCCGTCTGTGTTCCATTTCATGGATTAAATGTCCAACGCACGACAGCCCACTCTACTCGGCTCTAAATGATTCGATATGTCGAATAATGTGCTGCATATCCGTTCTGTTTTGATGAATAAATCGCGCAGGCTGAATAAAATTCAGGACATTTAGGTTGACATGTAGCAACCGACTGGCCATTACTCAGCCACTCCGAAACCCACATTCGAACTGTCAATGAACGCCGTCCTTGCATACGTCTATACCGTCTCTCTATCCACTGTCGTCGGATCCAATTGCTTCTATTTTGCTGCGTCAACAAGGACTTTTGACCGGTAGAGAATCACTAACTCACATATGCATTAACACGATCTGATACTTGCAAGAACTGTCCCCAACATTATTCTTTTACGAAGTTCGGAGGCTTGTTGGTTACTCTTAGTATGTCTGTTTCTTCCACGCCCTACTGTAGCTCTTGGAGAAGTAATCTGTTTTTGACCATGGGTGAATTTAACGCTTGATGATTGTAGAAATCGCGCTCTCCAATTACCCAGCGAAGCCGATGGAATTAAGATTCGTGAGGCGGCTGGTTTACTAGCATGCGATCTGTGTAGCTTTCTCAGCTAAAACCCTGCAGAATGTGTTACGCGGTTGGTCGCACAGCACTGCATTCGTGATTTCGTTAGTCTGGAAGAGTATTAGACTCACCGGAGGTATCTACGCTTCCCTCATACCTGGCAAACAGACCATACTCTCGTTAAACGAATTGTTCGCTGAGCTTAACAATTTTGCTTCAAACATTTTCCTACCATTGGTGGTGACATTATCAGTGTGTTGAGATGTAGCGGAACGGCGTTATGCGTAAGTAGATGGGAATCAGGTAGTTGCGCGCATGCGTCTTTACAAATTGTCGTCATCGTTCGTTTGAGCAGTCCGTGTCCTTGCTGATCGACGAACAGATGACCTTTGGAAATGGACGTCACAGTGACAGGCAAATCCGGATACGGACGCCGCCAAATCATATATATATATATATATATATATATATATATATATATGCAAAGGTCTACGAATAGACATAAAGCCTTCGGAAACGATGGGATTCGAAAGAAGGTACGGAAATAATAAAAGAAGACACAACACAGCACAACAATGTCCATAGTTTCGTCAAAGGGCGAGATACTACCCGGTTGCCCAAGCCGAAGTTGGGTGTTGACTTAGGGGACACCACCCCGAGCCTGGCTGAATAGCCTGCGCGCGAGACAGCGAAGCTAATTCAGGGCATCGCGCCCATTGGGAGTCGGTGACTGATTGTCCAGTTCATACGGCTTTCGTTTGTTCGTTCGCCAAACCGGGGCCCAGTGCTCCCCACAATTTCAAGATTAAGTTGCTGAAATACACTGCTTCGCCAGGATGGAGCAAGGGACAGTAACTTTTTTTAGTTGTGAGTCACAGTATTGTTAAACGGACATACGTGGCTTTTTATAGGGAGAACGCTTGTCAGGCGAAAACCCACCACGTCCTGGAACAGTGCCGCCGAACCATTTGCTGGAACAGGAAAATCCCGAACCAGCCAGCTGGCACCACGAAGAGGTTGTTCGGCAAGCCAGTCATTTACATCATGATAAAAATTTGTTTCTTCCAAGGTAGCCCTTTAAAATTTTGAAGCAGCGAACTTATTCGACTTCAGCTATTGCGGAACCCCAAGGAACGCGCTGCCTTCAATTTCAGTTTTCACGGACGAGAATTCATTTTTGGAGTGCGAGCACCTAACTGAATGTATCAGCTGCCTTAATTTTTGCTCACCTGTTTTAGCCATCTACCTGCGGATGCGTAGATTCTCTTCGCCACTGTTGAATGAACCTAGAATAAAAAACAAATGTGCAAGTTAATTTACTCCATTCGGCCATAAAATCCAACAAACTAAGATCGAACCGTTTATTATTGAAGTCGTGCTAGGCCATCAAAATTGCTACGATTGTTAGCGACTTTTGAAGCGGCTATGTAGAACAAGTTCCCTCAATGGCCTGGATGAGGTTTATACGTACAAATGTAATGCTGAGTTTACTGTTCCTTTCTACAGAGTTTATTTTTGTGTCCCTTCCTTCATCAGCTTTGATCACATCAGCTATTTGAACAGGTGCTTCACTGCCATACAGCCGCAAAGAATGAAGCGCAATAAACGGGATAGAATAGGGGACTTAGTGTTATAATGTTTAACATCATATTACTTGGTTTTGAATTCTTTGTAATGTAGATTTTTAGTATCTTATCTTTTTGTATTGCGGCACATTAGCTGATGTGTTTCTTACCCTCAACTAACGTGTATTGATGATGATGATGATGACTTCGCATTATAACCAAACGCCCAAAACAAACATTCAATGTCTTGATGCCTACACCTTTTCAACAATATCCCTTTCACAAACAGCTGGCTGTCGTGCAAGGATATGGCGCCACCAACGAGGCAGCTTCTTTGCAGCTTTCACTGCGCCGCACAAAAATCAGCCATTATCCCGCAGATAACTCAACACCAAACACATTTTAAACAAGCAATCCGGCTAGGCGACGACAGCAGACACGCCACTCATGCCGACCGCGAGTTATACCCTGTAATATCACGACATAAGCACAAGTCGGGTCACGTGGACCAGTTTGGAATGCGAGCCGACCAACAGCACCCAATTTTGTAGTCATTGACTTCATTCCCCGCTGCGAAGTCAATTTTTGCCCACCTGGAGCCTTGCGCAAACAAAACAGGGCCTACCTTCGTAAACGGTGATCAGCCATACGTAATCCGTGCTCGAGTCCACGCAACTTATTCAGTGCTATCTGCTGCTCGTAGGAACTATCTTTGTAATCACCGCTTAACACTCGTTTACGTACATATTCGTTTCGGACACCTTGCTGCCACGAGACACCAGCAATGCCTCGCATACAGCGAGGGTGAAGTCTCGCTACCATAGAGGAGGGGGGCCCTTACTATGGCCTTGTAAGTGCGGTATTTTAGACAAAGGGAAACCCTTTCTGACAGCAAAGATTTCGCGGAATCTGTTAAAGACGCGGTTACTGGGGCATATGGCCGTCAGAATAGATATTCACCGCACCGTATAGTGTGTTGACCAAATGTCAAGTCACATGAAGCAAGCAGACCAGTCGAAAATATAGGGTAAGGTGAGAGGTTGTGTCAGACAGGTCGCCTCGCATAGTGGGCGGCCTCATGCATATGAACCGCAGCAGAGCAGTGGGTGAGAGTGAAGTCCACGATCAGGTGAGTGGGACGACGTTGTACTTTCAAGAGAACACGTTATCCAGACTCGTACCGATGAAGTGCTGGGTTCAGCTGTGAACTTTGGATCGGTTGAGTTGTCCGCATAGGTCTCCCGGTGCCTCCGTGGCATGGCTTTGTACGCGTTTCCATCGGTTTTGCTAGTTCAAACGTGTCCAGCAGTACATCGAACAGCAATTCGGTCCGATCGACACCTCATACAGCACAGTGCCTTTTCTTTTTTTTGTACCACTGCAGGTTTCCAGGTTTGGTGGTTCGACCTTGTATCCAACATGTACACCGGCTTCCCTGTCAGAAAAATTGTGCTCACGCTTGACGCGAGTGGCCGTTGTGTAACCTTAGGGAGTATTGCATCAAATGAAAGACCTAGCTAACACCCGAACATGGTTTCCGCTGGAGATTTGCCGCATGATGCAGCGGAGTTAGGCGTTGCCCGATAACTTAACTGGAACGGCTGTATGATCTCCTCTGTCGGTGCTTCCCCCCGCAGTTTTAGAAGTGAACACTTGAAAGTGTTCACGAATTTTTCTGCTTGCCCGTTGGACTGGAGATGCACCGGAGGTGACCGGCAATGCTTGATGCCATTGCGCTGACAGAAAACACCAAATTCCTCGAAGATGTATTGTGAACCGTTAACAGAAACGAAGGTGTTATGTGAACCGAACTGTGCAAATAACTTGTGGTTTTCTTACTCTGGCCGTTACTGTGGTTGTGTTTATCAGGTATACCTCCGGCCACTTGGTTTACTCATCAATCAGGATCAAAAACACTGGCCTTACACTGAACCAGCGAAATCAAAGTGAATTCTCTCCCAAAGCTTGGAGGCTGACATCCAGGGCTGGATGATTTTGCTTAGAAGTTCCAGTGCTAAGGCCCAATTGCTGCATGTGGCGACACAACCCTGGATACCGTGGTCAATAAAGGGCCAGTATACCTACCTTCTGGCTAGAGCTTTCATCCGTGATTTTTCGGGGTGATGTAAGTGCAGATATCTT